GGGGGGGTATTCCAGGAAGAACAAGGCAAAGAAGGGAGTACTCCACGCCGGTCCATTACAGGGTACACACACACACACACACATGTTGGGTATACCTATCCTTATGGGGACCGCTCATTCACTTCTATGGGGAAAATGCTACCGCTAACTATGACAACCTTAACCCCCACCCAGCCCTAAGCAAACAAAATACAAGAGCTTTTGCATTTTTAGTTTTTTCATAGCAGTCACCAGAGCCAGGAAACCGGTCCCCATAAGGGACAAAAAAACAGATATTTATCATGTTAAGGATAGGTATACCCGCTCACACACACACACACACACACACACACACACACAGCTCTCCAGGTGTGAGGCAGCAGAGTTACCCACCATAGGACCTGCATCACCACACTTTCGCACACTCTCCCTAATCCATAAAAACCAGTGAATAAAAACATTGAAAACCACGCACATCGACAGAGGATATGTTACCTTTACACACATTTTAAGAAGCGGACAGGGGAACGTGCAGGACAGATCAAGTGAAGTCAATCGATCGCAGCCTGTTTATGAATTCTGCTCCCGCTTGAGCTGCTGGCTCTCTGCTAGTTTTTCCCCGGAATTTTTTTGACAGGAAGTCAGCGAGCGAGAGAGAATGGAGGCTTGGGGCTGACCGGTGAGCCAGCTGGAGAGGACAGAGCGGGGTGGTCACGGGGGTCTCTGCTTGCATTGCATTGAGTACTGTCATCCTAATACTCACATCCTGACAGGCTCCCCTTTGTGACTCTGTTTCACGAAAAATTTGAAGTTCGTCCGTTGAGCTTCAGGCAGATATTCTTTCCGGATTTTTCCGTGTGATTCAGTGACCTAGATGGTAATCACGCTAACACCAACGGATTGGATGGAGGCCTGACAGCAATGCCGATGTGCATTCAAACAGTTCCAGACCCGCTTCCATATTCCCGTTAAATTTCAGCGCGATACCATGTGATCTCCTTAAGGACCATTAAACCACGTCTAGAGGTCCTGGAGGTCAAGGGCAGGAAACAGCCACTGTGCGAACGATGCGTCGATTAGCGATGCGCTAATTGTAATGGAAATACATATTTTGTTACGCATAAATTAAGCATGAGCCAGATGCGCCGCCCTTTGTGGTTTCCGCGTGATTTTTTTTCATGCCCGGCCATCAATCTCCCACGCTAACGACTTGAGCATATTAACGATCCGCATCTATTAAACGAAAAAAAAAATATATATATATATCTCCCGTTACGGCCAATCGCCCGTTTATCTTCAGAAAGAGCTCCACCTAATTTTTACTTTATTCAGTTTTATGTATACATTTATCAGGCTGCCAAGGGAACAAAGGGCTTAATTACGTATTCATACTGGATTTAAATGCCATTCCAGACTAAAAACAGGAGTGGGTTTCAAACGCTTCCCTGCATTGTCCGGCGAGGGTCTCCAAACATCCCCTGGGCCTTTATTCTTATTCATTTGTTTGAACCGATTAGAGGCCACACAGATAGACACAGTTTCAATTCAGACCCACGGATCCGGGCCTAACCTCCTTACCCAGCACCCCTACATCACTTTACTCACCGCCGACTGTATTAAAAGTGTTTATCTTTTCTTAAGTCAACCACCCCCCCTGCCCCCATCCGCCACCTCCAAGCCCTCGGGGTCTGAAAAGAACGGCCGTGATCAGAGGGCCAGTGGATGGTGTTAGATCAAGGGTGGCATCGGGCCGGCTAAACCACTGAGTAAACAATGACTTGTGTGTCACTTGGGTGGGGGGGGGGGGGGATTGAGATGCTGTCTTTGAGCTTCTGTCTGATGATGATCCCTTTTCTCTCCATAATCTTAAGCATCAGTAACAGTAAGACTGACACAAAGGCAGCCGAGATAAACAAATAAATACCCCCCCCCTTCTGGAGGAACCTGGATAGGATGCCTACAATCCACTCTGTACTGCTGCTCTGAGCACTAAAAGGGCTTATGATTTGTGTGTGTGTGTGTGGGGGGGGGGGGGGGGGGGGGGGGGTGTTTAACGGATAAGCCTACGCGTTAAGTTCCTTTATCACGCTAAAGGTTACAGTAGTTTAAGGAAAAGGGGTTCAGGAGAGTGTGGGCCGGTCATTCAATGAGGCTAATGGCCAAATCGGGCCCAGGTCTCAGATCTCCTTGACGACCGCTGTGATGTTGTTTCCTAGGTCCAAAGAGTAACAAAATGCGGAAAAAATTACGTTATCGAACGGGAATTACAGCATGTGATACGATAATTTTTCCGTCTAAATAAATATGCCCAGTTTTTAAACACTGCATAAATTACTAATAACTGCATAATAGAAAGCATACATAATTTAAATTTAAAATATATCCCAGAGATAAAATGAATTTCAGGCAAATCTCTAATGTAACTCTGACATGTACAAATTTGCTCCAGTAAATGCATGTCATGAAGACAAAACCCTGGCTATTTAACAAAATTAGACAGAATATAGACTTTTTTATAAATGCTCATACAGATACGTACAAATATTGTATTTTTAGATGCACGGAGTCTGTAAAACAAGCAGACCAAACACTCTGAGGAACACAGAAGGGAAAATGTGCTCTCCAGGAAAAAATTGATTACAATTTCTGTTATTTAAATGGCCAAAATGGCCGTTTTTGTCATGATGTCTGAGAGCTGAGTTCTGGGTGGTCTGCTATGTGCAATTAATTATGCAGAAAGCCTTTTTTCATTAAGGTTTGGGGGATGTCTTCATATCCTTTAATATTCTCCATCTATTCATCTCTCAACCACTTACATGGGGGGGGNACAAGGAGCACTAACAGTTCAGTAACTTTCCCTTTTCATGCGTTCCCACAGTGTCTTAATGTTTAAGCTCGTTCTTCACTGTGACCGACCCCCCCAGCTGAGAGACAATCATTTATTATAGAGGCGGAGGAGCAGTACTCAAAAGGCCCAGACCTGGAAGAATGGGGCCCAAGCAGAAGGCCGCTCATAAACAGATTCACTACAGAGCGCTTCCTCGCTATAAATTACACCCTAAGTACCACGGAGGAGGGTGCGGATGGGGGGGGGTGTTACTCGGGGCTGGGGGAGGACAAGAAGCA